ATATGGACCAACACCGACCCAATGAATAACTTACTTACCCAAATGGATGTCAAACTCGGCCATACAGATGACAAACTACATATAGAATTAATTATTTTGAAGCTTAAACACTTAGTTCTTTAAGCTGTGACTAACAACATATCTAACTAAGACTATATAGATAGGATCATACTAAATTGAAAATCACATAAGACACTCATGAAGCACGTTTATGGGTGTAATTCTAGAAACAAAGTTTAGGAGTGACAGGATTGACCATCATAGGATAGTAAACCATTTCAAAGAGTTTCAAACAAAGCATGATTCAAGATCAACCTAAAGAATTTTAGATGAGGGTCTAGCAGAATCATAGAAAAGAAGCAAGTAGAGCAAAACCTTCACATTAAAGTATCCATCATGAAAAATCTAATGAAAATAGCATAACCAAACAGGCTGATGGACATTGTCTAAAAACAATCCTTAATCGAGCATGAAAAGTCTTGAACATGTTAAATACCAGTCATAGCACAAAGACTTAAACAATACCAGAATTCATAGGAGGCAAGGATACGCCAAGATCTAAATTATACATAGAAGAAAAGCTAAACATTACTTTTTTACTTGTAGGCTTTAGGAAGTACTAATCAGGCATAGGGCACACTTTAAAATTTACAGATAGAGGGGAAGCATATTAAGATAAACATTGAGACAATATTGTCACATGGGATGATCATGGGTCAATTTGCAGAGAAATAGTAGGTTATGCATAAAGGATTCAGCAGAAAGAAACTCATTAAGGTAACTTCTGGGCAGATATCAGTCTCCACAAAATAGTCCCAGAAATCTAAAGCATGGCATGAAATTGAACTCATAATGGGCAAAATTCAAGTCTAACATAACAAATCAGACAAGTCCTAAGAAGGTCAGAAACCTTTTGAGTTAAATGCAATGAGTGAGAGCATACTACATATGTTGAAGCCTATCAAGTTTGCTATTAGAGAACATAGAACTACAGAACATCACTACAGAAGACAGTACTGGGAATTCACAAAAAGCAGACACATAATATTGGCACACAGAAGACACATTCATGAATAAGTAGAGGAGTGACAATTAAGGCTGTAAAAGATTTAGAACACTAACCAGTTGCAAAGATAAATGAGAAAAAGAGTGAGCAACTTAGAATCTTAATAGTGACAGCAATTGAAAGATAACAGTGAGAATCCCAATTCCTAGTACGTTAGAGTTCACAGGAGCTTTAGTAAGCCCCGAGCAGTGCTCGCACTAGGGAGATTGATAGAGAAGATTCCGGTGGCCTTGGATTTCAGCCGGCCATAATCGAGAGTGCAGAAATAGTATAAAACGTATAAAAGTGAGAGAATAACATTGATTCAGGTCTGCTAGGGGAATAAGGGAAAGGGATAGTGTTGAATCAGGCGAGTAAACAAGGAAATAAATCAAGCAAACATAAACAAGGAAAATAAAACATCACATGCAATCAATAGAATAACCGTTAAAGGAAAAAAAAATTCAAACCCTAGTTAGGATTCCTGGATCGCAAGTCAACAAGTAAAGGCGAGAATCACCCTTTTCTCTCATGTATATGAACACAAAATCATCCAAATCCCATAGATCAAAGTCGATCTAGTCCGATCTCAGAAGGTCATACTTGCCAAAATCGAGCAAGTACTCAAGTAATTCCGCAGACGCGTACATAATAGCGAGGTATTACGAATAAGGTAAGTGAATCACGGATAAGCGAGGTAGTACATAATAGCGAGGTAGTATATAATAGCCTTATGCAATAATGAAGGTAGTGCGTAGCCTCATGCAAAGAATGGATACAGTGCTTAGTCTCATGCAAAGAAAGACAATGCTTAGACTTATGCGATGACAGATACATTGCTTAGCCTTATGCAAAGAATGGAGACAGTGCTTATTCCCATGCAAGGAAAGACAGTGCTTAGACTTATGTAGTGATGGAGGCAGTGCTTAGCCTTATGCAGTGATGGAGGTAGTGCTTAGCCTCATGCAAAAAATGGAGATAGTGCTTAGCCTTATGCGGTGATGGAGGCAGTGCTTAGACTCATGTAAAGAATGGAGACATTGCTTAGTCTCATGCAAGGAAAGGCAGTGCTTAGCCTTATGCAGTGATGGAGGCAGTGCTTAGCCTCATGCAAAGAATGGAGGCAATGCTTAGTATCATGCAAGGAAAGGCAGTGCTTTGCCTTATGCAGTGATGGAGGCAGTGCTTAGCATCATGTAAAGAATGGAGACAATACTTAGTTTCATTCAAGGAAAGGCAGTGCTTAGCCTTATGAAATGATGGAGGCAGTGCTTAGCCTCATGCAAAGAATGGAGACAGTCCTAGTCTCATGCAAAGGAAGGCATTGTTTTAGCCTTATGAAATGATAAGGGTAGTGCTTGGCCCCTATGTAAGAAAAGAAACGATTAAATGTGAGAGGGAAAATGGTCCTGAGCATGGCGTGTTTGTGCTTAGCGACTTCTGTTGGTGTGAAGATAGTTATCATATTGTATGTATATATTTGTGGACGTGCTTATCATGTTTATTGTGCCTGCATCCAAAGAAAAATCGTGAGTTTTTTTAGGGGAAAGGTTGGTTCGTGCCTTTGATTCTTCATTTCGCCTTTGCTCCTTGCCTTGCTGCCTTGTTCGAGTCACCCTGAGTAACATCTGGCTATTACAAAATTAAATTTTCGAAAATATGCATTTGTGACAAATCATTTATATAAAAATGTAGTGTTTCAAAATATGTGATAATGCATAAGAGCAAATAATTTTGTCGAATCAGTGACTGTGACACACTTCGAGACATTGCAACCTCCTCAAAATTTTGCCCTAGTTTAAATACATACTTCTGGCGATATATTTCTTAGTGATCTTTGACATAATGAGATGGACGAACTCGAAATCATGCCCCAATTTCTGACCATAGGCGGGAATGAAGATTTTATTATGATGTGATCAAACTCACATGTCTGCCTACGTACCCCCTCTTAAATGGGAATGAGGTCAAGCGTAGTTCAGGTTACATCAAAGAGAAAGTGCAAACATAATCTTAAACATAATATCCCTTGATTGCGTCTGAATTGATAGGTTTTGGCCATATTTGTCCATCCATCTCTTCAAGTAAAAGTGCTCCTCCCATCATTACTCAGTGAATCATGTAAGGGCCTCTCCAGTTAGGTGAGAACTTCCCTTTTGCTTCATCCAGATGCGGGAAGATTCATTTCAACACCAATTGTTCCAGTGTGAATTGCCTTGATCTAACCTTTTAGTTGAAGGCACTTGCCATTACATTCTTGTAGAGTTGACCGTGACATACGGATTTCATACTCTTACCATCAATGAGAGCTAGTTTCATACTTGTTCTGTATCCATTCTGTGTCGCTGAGCTCGACATTCTATCTGATTCTTAGGGAAGGAATCTGCACCTCGGCAAGTATAGTAGCTTCATTACCTTAGAGCAATAGATAGGGGGTTGCCCCAGTTGACGTACGTTGTCCACCATCATCCTCACTATCTTCTTAATATTCTTGTTAGGAGTTTCTACGGCTCCATTCATCTGTGACATGTATGCTGTAGAATTTCGATGCTTGATTTTGAATGTTTCGCACATAGTTTTAATCGGATCACTGTTGAGATTGGTGGCGTTGTCAGTAATGATTGAATCAGATACTCCAAATCGACAAACAATATGATCCTGGACGAAATCTGCTATGACCTTCTTAGTCACAGCCTTATAGGAAGCGACTTCATCCATTTTGTGAAGTAATCTATAGCCACCAAAATGTATCTACGTCCGTTTGAAGCAGCGGGTTCAATTGGTCCAATTACATCCATGCCCCAACTAGAGAAGGGCCATGGTGAACTTGTTAAATTGAGTTTGTTAGGTGGCACTTGTCTCATATCAGCATGTACCTAGCATTGGTGGAACTTTTGTACATACTTGATGCAATATGTCTCTATAGTCATCCAAAAATACCCTACCCTTAATATCTTCTTGGCCAGAACGAACCCGTTCATGTGAGGTCCGCAAGTTCCGGTGTGTATTTCTTCAAGCAATCTAGATGCCTCCTTGACATCGACGCATCACAGCAATCCCAAATCAGGAGTACTTCTGTACATTAAAAGAAAGGTTTGGCCAATCTTCGAAGCATGCACTTCTGAGTTTGTGTAGCATTCTCTGCTATTCTCTTTTCTCAAAGTATTTCTTGATATTCTGGAACCATGGATTTCCATCAAACTCTTCTTTACCATGAGCACAATAAGCTGGCTGCATACGAATCTCCATTGGGATAGGATCGATGAAATTCTTGTCTAGATGTTGTATCATGGAGGACAAGGTAGCCAATGCATCTCCGAACTCATTTTGAATCCTTGGAACATGTTTGAATTCAATCTTTGCGAACCTCTTGATCAATTTTTATACACAATGCAAGTATGGCAATATTTTAGTGTTCTTGGTAGCCCATTCTCCTAGTACCTGGTGCACCAATAGACTAGAATCTCTGATTACCAGTAACTCCTGAACGTTCATGTCGATGGCCAATCTGAGTCCTAGGATGAAGGCCTCATATTCTGCCATATTTTTGTGCACGGGAACCTGAGCTTTGCGGATATCAGATAATGTTGATCGATTTTTGATACTAAAATAGCTCTGAGCCCACCCCTTTTAAATTTGCTACTCTGTCAAAAAACAACTATCATATGTTTCGGCAATATCTTCACCTACAAATGACACTTCCTCATCGGGAAAATACATCTTCAATGGTTCGTATTCTCCATCAATGGGGTTCTCTGCTAAATGATTGGCCAATGCTTGCTCTTTGGCTGCCTTCTGAGTCACATAGATGATGTCGAACTCGCTTAGCAATATCTGCCACTTTGCTAAGTTACCTGTAGGCATAGGTTTCTGAAAGATGTATTTTAGTGGATCCATCCTTTATATGAGATATGTAGTGTATGCACATAAATAATGTGACAAACCTTTGGGCTCTCTATGTCAAAACACAACATATGCGCTCCAGCGAAGAGTAACGGGCCTCGTAAGGTGTGAACTTCTTACTCAAATAATATATTGCTTGTTCTTTCCTCCTAGTTTCATCATGTTGCCCCTGAATGCAACCAAAGGCTCCATCTAACACGGACAGATACAACAATAGAGGTGTTATTGGCTCTAGCAGGACCAACACGGGTTGTTTAGACAAGTACTCCTTGATTTTGTCTAAAGCTTTCTGGCATTCTTCAATCCAGTTTGTAGCATCATCTTTCCTCAACATCTTGAAGATCAACTCACATATCACCATTGATTGTTCTATAAAACGGCTAATGTAATTGAGGCGTCCTAGGAAACTCATAACATCTTCCTTGTTCTTAGGCAATAGTAAGTCCTAAATAGCTTTGATTTTTTACGGGTCTAGCTCAATACCATGGCGGCTAACGATGAAACCCAGCATATTCCTAGAAGAGACTCCAAAGGCACATTTTGCAGGGTTCAACTTCAAATTGTATTTTCGAAGTCGGTCGAAAAACTTCTTCAAGTATGCTATGTGATCTGAACTTCTTTTAGATTTGATGATAACATCATCCACGTACACCTCCATTTTCTTGTGTATCATGTCATGGAAGAGGGTCATCATGGCCCTCATGTAGGTGGACTCACTATTCTTCAGACCAAACGACATCATTTTGTAACAATATATCCCCCATGATGTGATAAAGGCTGTCTTTTCTGCATGCTCTTCGCCTATCCAAATCTTGTGATATCCTGCAAAGCAATCCACAAAGGATTAGAGTTCATGCTTGGTACAGTTGTCGATCAGTATGTGTATATTGGGTAACAAAAAATCATCCTTAGGACTTGATCTGTTCAGATCTTGGTAGTTAACAAACACTCTGACTTTCCCATCTTTCTTCGAAGACGACACAATGTTGGCTAACCAGGTCGGGTACTCGACCACTCGAAGAAACTTGGCTTTGATTTGCTTGGTAACCTCCTCCATTATTTTCAGCCTCATATCTTGCTTGAATTTTCTGAACTTCTGTTTTACCGGCGGACACATGGGGTTGGCAGATAGCTTGTGAGCTACTATAGATGTGCTTAACCCAGTCATGTTGTCGTACAACCATGCGAAAATATCCTTATATTCCTTTAGAAACATGATATACCCTTCCTTCTCTATCGGTGATAGATGAATGCTTATGCGAGTTTCTTTGACTGATTCAAAATCCCCTAAGTTAAATGCCTCAGTTTCTTCCAAGTTGGACTTTGGGTTTTTCTCAAAATTCTCCACTTCTTTATAATTTCCTCAGGTATTATATCATCTTCCAAATCTTCCGACTCACTTTCCTTATGTTGTGTTGTCTCATTACCTTTTACAGTCGTAGGTTCATCAGGATATGTAATAATTATGCTGAAATGAAAGTAGAAAGATAATGATAAATAAACGAAAACAGTAATGCATTTAAATTTAAAATTGTCAACAAGTACGACTCGATGGATCGAGTAATTATTTCAAAACAAAATACTGAAAATGTCTTAAATGCCCAAAAGCATTTACAAATAAAGCATGTTAATTCTGCCAAGGATACCCAGGTATCGGTGAGCCCGGGATGGTGCAGCAGTCCAGTTCTTGAGAATAAGTCCTTCTCGCACTGTCTAAATGGTAAGGTCTTCCTCCTCCTCCTCCTCTAAAATTTCAATGCAGTCCATATCTTCCTCATCTAGAAACAAATTCCTTATACCGGCCAAAATCTTGTCTTCCTCGAATCCCGAAATCATGTCAGTATGGCGGAATGTCTGGTGCAGCGGTGGTATGGGTTGTTCTAGCGGATAGTAATAGGTGCACCATGGCGATGTCCAATTTTGATATTCTTTAATAGTATATTCATACCCGAGTTCGAAGGTTAGGCCGTGATACTGTAATTGTATGGGTTATGTGATCCCCTGAAGCTTTCGGTCAAGACCTTTGATTGGTTCATATTCCAACCACATCAATAGGCTTTCTATCTTATTGCTCCACCATCGATCCTTCTTAATTGCGTTTACCCATTCGATGTGGTGGTATGTTTCTCCTTCCAATATCCTCCCATTTTCGACGACTGGCACGATCAGGTTGGTGTAGATAAGGTTGCTTCAGTCTCCATGGATGATCACCTATTGATGATTCCACTCAAACTTCACAACCTGATGCAGGGTAAAAGCGACTTCCCCAGCCGCGTGTATCCATGGTCATCCCAACAACAAGTTGCAGGTGGCAGATATGTCTAGCACTTGGAATTCGACATCAAACTAGGTTAGGCCCATCTATAGATCAGGATTATTTTTTCGATAGTGGCACGCTGAGATCCATCGAATGCTTTCACATTCATGCTTCCTATTCGTATCTCATGTAGGCCTTTACTCACTCTTTTCAGAGTAGTCAGTGGGCATATGTTCAGGCTCGAACCTCCATCTATCAGGACCCTCGCAATGAACTTGTTTTCAAATTGCATAGTGATGTGCAATGCTTTGTTGTGACTCACCCCTTTTGGTGGTAACTCATCTTCATGGAAAGTAATTTTGTGACTCTCCAATACTTTCTAACCGTGTTATCCATCTCTCCACTAGTGATATTGGTAGGTACATAAGCTTCATTTAACACTTTTATCTAGGCATTCTTGTGCGCGTCTGAATTTTGCAACAATAACAAAATAGATATCTGGGTAGGAGTCTTGTTCAGGTGATCAACAACAGAGTACTCCATTGCTTGTACCTTCCTCCAAAGATTGTCAGTGCATGTTTTAATGACAGGTGGCTTAGATGCAGTTTCTTTGCTTGTCCCTACAAGATTCTTAGGTGTGCAAACTCTGCCAATTCTAGTCATCCCTTGTGCAACACCTGTCTCCTCCATTTTGGATTTTCCTTTCTTCTTGACTCTGCAACATAATCCCATGGGACAACATCAGACTTATAAGATGGTGTGGGAGTTACCATCACGGTGAAGGGCGTAGATACCTCGACCTCAAACGGTGCCTGAGTTTGCACCAAAATCGGTAAGAGGGTGACAAGAGATGTTTTAGGAGTATCTCTCTCTCGAATAAGTCCATTCCTCATCAGTTTCTATTACTTTCACTCCCTCACCCCTATGATCCGAGAAAGGATTATTACGGACATTTGGTGCAGCTTCTTTTGCTTGGATAACCTTATTATCGATTAGTGTCTGAATCTTATCCTTCAACATGTAGCATTCCTCAATGGTATGACCCTTTATTCCTGAATGATAGGCACAAGTTTTACTGTGGTTAACCCACTGAGAAGGGTTCTCAACAGCACCAACACGAATAGGGGTGACATAACCATCGGTCTTTAGTCTCTTATACAGTTGGGCTATGGGTTCAGCGATTGGGGTATATTGTCTGGGAGTTCTGCGATCAAAGTTTAGTTATAGCTTTGGGTAGTTTTGGCGGGCGGGTGGAGGTGAATGGTTATAGGCGTGGTAGGTGATGGTAGGGTATTGGTATTTTGGAGGTGAGGGTTGATATGTTGGTGGAGGTGTTTGATATTTAAGGGGAGACTTAGGGCCGTAGGCTACCATCACGATACCCATTTCTTTCTTCTTTGAAATACCTCTTGATTGCAAGACTTTGTTTATGGCTTGTAGTGCCTTAAAATTGGTCACCATCCCACTCTTGATTCCTTCTTCTATCCTTTCTCCTAACTTGATGATGTCTGAGAACTTGTGATTCTCGATGACCATCAACCTTTTATAATACTACGGATCTTGAGCTCTAACAAAGAACTTGTTCATTTGTTCCTCTTCAAGTGGCGGCCTCACTTTTGCGTCCTCTGATCTCCAACGAGTAGCATACTTGTGAAAGGTTTCTGTCGGCTTCTTTTTGGGTATCTAGATGTAGAAAATGTCTGGTGCATTCTATGTATTGAACCTAAATCTATCCATGAAGCCCGATGCCATGCTCACCCAATTTGCCCACTTCTTCGGATTCTGACTGATATACTAAGATAATGCGTCTCATGTGAGACTTCGCATGAGTAGTTTCATGTGGATTTGTTCATTCTTACCTACTCCTACAGGCTTGTCGCAGTAGGTTCTCATATGCACTTTTGGATCACCAATGCCATCAAACATCTCAAACGTAGGAGGTTTGTAACCCTATAGCAGTTCTACATCTTGCTGGATACACAAATCTTCATAGTTTAAACCTTCAACACCCTTCCCACCTCCAACACTCTAGGGTTTGTTGTGGGGCATGGGGTAAGGCTTCCATGTATATCGGGTTGCCTTGATGAGTTCCTGGAACTTGGGTATATGAGTGAACATCCATCTTCCCTTTGCCTTTACATTTTGGATCACTAGGTGGAGGACCTCTGGATCTGGTGTTGTATGTTGAGGATGCCAGAATGCACGAACCAACCTTTGGCAATGGGAATAATCAAAAGAATAAAAACAAAGATAACCAAGGCAGTAAGCCGAAGTAAAAAAAGTATTTGCAATATTTAGACATGTATCACATAAGGTTATGCAATAATTCGCGTCCTAACTTTTGGGACCTCATTGTGCCCGAGGTAGGCCTTAGTGACATATAGACTTTGGAGAAAATTCTTGCTAACATTTGCTTCATTTCATTATTGCGACAATAAGCCAAAAACAATCAAAATAATAATTATAAAGTCACTAATGGCATCAAACCTTATTACATCGAAATCTAATCTAATCTAGAAAGCAGTAAAGAACATTATCTCCTAATCTACTTGGTCTCTGAAGGACCTTCTCCATACTTGGTTCTCTTGACCCCATCAATCATGTTCCCTAGATCACGCATGTCTAGTAGTAAGTAAGCTTTTGCCAACTTTCCTCCTTCATCATCGTCCATTCTTTGACAATCCCAAAGCTTCTTTCTCATCTTCCCCTCTAGCTCCATCAATACTTGCTCTAGATATTCTAACCTCTCTGTCGACTTATTGGCAATCTCTTTCCATTCCCTTATTTCCTCCATGTTCATTTTATGTTGTTCCAAATGCTTAGCTTCCGATTTGAACACCCTCTTGCAACCTCTTATACTTCACTTGTGCCTCAGCCATCTCATCTGTGATCCTATCTTTTAGATTGACTCCCGGTCCGACGTCCCTGGCTATGTCGTCTTCCAGCCATAAGAGATAGTAGTACATATGACTAGCGTGATACCTGTTTAGTTCAATAGTTTCTCCTTCCACAATGATCTTTTGGTTCCACATGTGTCGAGCTTCGAACTTGAATGGGATGAAATCCCCTTTGAAATCGGCCTTATACTGAACCTTGTTGGAAACCCGAGGTGTGACTTGCTTCCTTCCAGGTTGCCTTATTACCCTTATAAGAGCGTATGGGTAGATGCATCGCAGCATGATCAGTACTAAATGAGTAGTTACTTTGGATCTAATAATGAATTCACTACCAGGAAACCTTTCAAATATCCAATGCACTTGCTCATCTGTCAGATTGCTGAAGAAACACACACATCCTACAACATTTCCAGGCTTTTCAAACTTGTCTGGAATGAACGTCATTTTCTTTGGATGATGACTGGCTATGTAGTCATTCAGTTGCCTTCGCAGAAGCTCCTGGCGACACTCACCTCTCTGAAAGCGTTCTAATAGCCAAACTTGTAACAAGATATTACAACCCTCAAAGTGTTTGGACCCATGCTTGCACCTAGGGGTGTTCATAGAAACCCGAAAAACTAAACCAAACCGAAAATCGAACCAAACCAACCAAAAAAACCGATACTTTTTAGGTTTGGTTTTAATAAAAAAATAACCGAAAAAAACAAACCAAACCGATTATATATATATATTATATATATATATATAGTTAGTTTGGTTCGGTTTTGGTTTAGTCATTTATCTTTTTAATCTAGTTCTTTGCTATTATAATAATCTAATTCTTTACCTTTACATTCTAGTTTGATTGATAGTTTTCTTTTGCTAAGTACAAGAATTTATTTCATCTTAAAGATAATCTATTTTTAATTCAGTACTTAAATTATTCATCACTATTTGACTCAATTATCATCAATATATCTTGGTAAATGATAGATTTATCAAAGAGCAATTGATTTGATAAATGTAGTCGCTGGAATATGCGTTTGGTAGT